CATAAAGAAATATCCACTCCCGGCACTTGTGTTTAAAATTTGTTTAAATTATAATAAATAATTAAAAACAACGTTTAATATTTACACAATAAAAACTTTATTGAAGCCGTACGGCTTCCACTTTACAATATCACTCTATAATTATATGTATTGACGTGATCTACGTCATCCTCGGGAGTAAGTTACAAGACTATTTTATACTTTCCCCCTTGTCACATTACTTCATTGTTATTTGCATATTTCCTTAGTGTATTTGAAAAAAAAAATTTAATGTATCTCACCATATATCAATGTATTGACTTGCTGGTCGTTCATCTCTATTGTGTAAATATAAAACGTTGTTTTTAATTATTTATTATAATTTAAAAAAATGCATAAAGAAAGTTGTAATCTTACCATCAACAACAAAAAGACAAAAAATACTATAATTAAATATAATTTTTTTCTTCTCTCTCTCTCTCTCTCACACAGCCCATATTAGCATGCTCTATAAAGAAACTCGATAATTATAATCTCACCAGACAGGGTGTAAAAGATGCCATTACATCTAGCATTACATGAATGTGAGTGATTGTACAATACTAGATATGACGTGATGAGAATAAACTACTCAATAGATCAGGAACTACAATGTCCAAAAGTATTTTCAACTTGCACACTTATATGAATAAGTAATCAATAAGACACTGCAATTTAAATGCTGTTATAGAAAATCTATTTCTATGCCAACTTTTTGGCATAAATATGCAAACAATAGCATTGGTATAACATGTCAAGGTACTTATATAAAAAACAAGAGTTTATCAAAATTACAGGTGTTTATATTTAAAAAAGAATAAAACCTATCTATTGGAAATTTTTGATTTGACAAAAAAGAAATATCTATATGGTTGCATAATATGTTTTTTCTAAAACATTTGTATAGCTGTATGTTTTTAGATTACAAGACAGCAAATCAAAATACAACTCATAAAAATTTTGCATTCCAGATTTTGTTGCGACTAATGGTAGGATTTTATGATTTACTTACCAGTGGTTCCAGTTCTCGCTGGCTCACAAGGCCAAACTCTCTGATAAAATAGTAGAAATGTTTGTAACAAGTATTCACATGGGCTTCCTGAAACAACAAACATTATAACACAATCATAGTCGAGCACAAGACCCACTTACAATACATACACAGCTGGAGGTCTTTACAGAGTTCCTAGGAAACTTGTAACTGTCATAATAGCATTTAGAGCACAAGACCCACTTACAATACATATGTAGCTAGAGGTCTTTACAGAGTTCCTAGGAAACTTGTAACTGTCATAATAGCATTTATAAGTGGGACTTGTGCTCCAATACATATGTAACTAGAGGTCTTTACAGAGTTCCAAGGAAACTTGTAACTGTTATAATAGCATTTAATGATAACATTAGAACAAAACATGACGGCAAACAACTGTAGGTCTTAACAGAGGCTGTCTGTAAAAACATTACAACATGAAAATATAACTATAAGTAGTATATAACAATGATAACAAAACAACAGTTACTACAAAATAATGTAGCACACGGCTGAAAGTTTTTTGAACAAATTTTCTGAAACAATAAGTTGTTCTTAATATTTACAATAAAAACACTGTATATAATACCATGTCTACATACTGACTTTCCAAAATAACAGTACATATATATATCTATTAAGTAATGGAAAATGTAAGTAAACTTATGAGCCTCGAGTGCCACATCTATTTCTCACGGCTAACTTGTGCGGTATTTTACAGCACTGGTATTGGATACAGCAGAAATAATATGGCTGACATTTTATTACACTCTTCTTTACTTTCACTCATAAGTTCTTATAATACGTGTGGCAAAATTGTACTAAATATTCTTTCACTACATGATGGCTTTATCTTTTGTGTATTTTACATTTACATCAAATCTTTGCATATTAATTTTTACTTTAACTGATCTGTTCATTGATGCTACAAACAGACACAGAAAGCAGTAATGTTTCTGTCAGAAACTTTGATTTGATTTGAAATATCTTTACTTTTTACAACCGTGGACAAAACAAATCAATTCAGAGTTACTTGTAGTAAATGTATGCTTGTAGTTCTTAGAAACTTGATGTTCCTCGTGTAAAAAAAATATAAAATAATACACAAATCCCACTAGTAAAACTAGATTTCTTGTTGTCACTTGAAACTAAGTGTGTGTAACCATACAAAGATGATATCTGAAACACTTCTAACATTTTGAAGCCCTTTGTTCTAAGAAAAATTCAAACACTGCAGGAGTTTGTGGAACAGAATTACTTACGAACAGAAAACACACTGTAGGACTAAAACTTGGAGTAAAATCTGGGGTTGAAAAACTTTGATTTATTCTGGTTATTTCCAATAATATTAATAAAAAAGAACTGCACACAAAGGCACAAATATATAATTACAGTACTTACAGGAGAGCTGTAAGTAAATAGATAGTCTGGTGGCTATTGGAGCTGTAAGTAAATAGATAGTCTGGTGGCTATTGGAGCTGTAACTGAATAGATAGTCTGGTGGCTATTGGAGCTGTAAGTAAATAGATAGTCTGGTGGCTATTGGAGCTGTAAGTAAATAGATAGTCTGGTGGCTATTGGAGCTGTAAGTAAATAGATAGTCTGGTGGCTATTGGAGAATAGCCACCAGACTATCTATTCAGTTACAGTACTTACAGCTCTAATTAGCCACCAGACTATCTATTTATTACAGTACTTACAGCTCCAAAAGCCACCAGACTATCTATTTAGTTACAGTACTTATAGCTCTAATAGCCACCAGACTATCTATTTACTTACAGCTCTAATAGCCACCAGACTATCTATTCAGTTACAGTACTTACAGCTCTAATAGCCACCAGACTATCTATTCAGTTACAGTACTTACAGCTCTAATAGCCACCAGACTATCTATTCAGTTACAGTACTTACAGGCTCCAATAGCCACCAGACTATCTATTTACTTACAGCTCCAATAGCCACCAGACTATCTATTTACTTACAGCTCCAATAGCCACCAGACTATCTATTTACTTAC